AGCTGACAATATCTAAGGTATACAGTTACTATATTTGATATGTAACACGATGGCATTGCATTGTAGAGCCAACAAAGAAACTCATAACCCCCCCACCCCTCACCCCCCTCACAAGACACAACAAAACAACAAAAAAACCTCCAAACTCATCAACCAACCTGAGAGACGCGTATATCCGCTCTTTCTCTTCTCATAAACGATAAAGTCTTCGTCGGGAACAACTTGTAAGAAAAAGGTGTGAGTGGATTGAACCCCGCTCCTCCTCCGTCCTGCTCCTCCGCGTCTGACAAAAGTGTGCTCTCCTCCTCCGCCAGGGCTTTATACCGCGCGAGCGGAGCGGAGCGGCGCGCGCGGAGGTAACTAACGGTCACCGAGCAACGCTGCTCCCCTATAAGGTGAGCACGTGCCCGGGCGAGACCGCTCTTAAAAGGCCAGCCACACCTCGACGCCCCATTCATTCAATTACTGTGGAGAAGATCATACAGAGGGGGGGCAGCTGGATACGTTTACGGCAAAACCCCCCCAACAAAAAACACTGTAAAGCCGGACCGTGAATACTACCACTGCAACAACATTAGTCACCGTGATTATTTATCAATTTACATCGATCGCATTTAAACTAACCCATATCAACACATATGCACCATATTTTAGATTATTGTAACAAAATAGTTTGGTGTTTGGTTTTGTCCGGCGGACTTTAGATCATTGAAGTCCATTCATCCATGCATGTAAATGTTCACCAAATCACAACGTGGTTTAAAGACTAAGAGGATTTGTAGATTAAGGATGGAGCATCAGTACTCCAACACTTTGAATATTGCTGCAAAAGAAAATACCTTGTACTGTGGCTCTTGGAGTTATTTTAGCAGGTGCTCTGTACCATCACGTTTATTGGATATACTTAAACACAGTTGGTTGTTTGAGGTATTTATGGTGCCACGAGGAGCTTTCTTATCTACAAGCCGATTACCAGCCTCAAAATCCTCTGATGGTGTATTTGGTGTGACTAAGCGCAAAAGGTACCTATGTGACACGCAAATATGATTCAATTTAAATTATAAATACTAAAAAGTAATTAGTGGGTTAGAAACTCGGTTTTCAGTCAACAAACTGCTGTAACACTCTTTTGATCTTGAGTCTCGTGTCTCCGTGCAAATCTCCCCAGAATAACATTTCACCTTGCTGACATCCGTCTCCTTCTTCTGTTAAAAAAAGCCTCCCAGTGTGAACAGAATAGCAACCCCGTGGCACCCTGCCTGTCACCTCGTGTCTGCTGCTCCAGCCCTGTGTGACCCTGCGTTGCAGCTTGGAAGATGGATGCGGATGTTTAACTTACCGTGGCTTCATTTGCACTTGCTGCTTTCATCCATCAAACCTGGACTCAGATCACACGATGAAGCACATCCAACCACTGGTGCTTGCAGCAAAGCACAATATACCTGCATTGTAATATAACAAAGGGGTAAAAGCAGTGTGCATTTCAAACTGAAACATGTGGTTAAAGCAGCAGATTTATTTTTATGTAAGTCCTGTAACTTCATGTTGTACTAATGCGCCCTGCTGTTGATTGACTAATTGATTTGACTACAAAATGCAAGCAGAAAGGAACACAAGTGTGCCAAGTCCAGCCTCTTCTGTTCGAAAGTTTGTGTTTGTGCAAAACAAAATGGAAACAACATTTCCACGAATCCAAACAAATTTATAGGACGGTAGCATTGCAGCAGAGGGCGAGTGTATTTCGCTGAATCAAGTTAAAAAGAAGCACTTTGTTGCCCGCTCTGTCTCGCTGCCTGCTGTGCGAATGTGGCCCAGCAATGACCGACTGCGTTGGGACACTGAGACACCGGAGCGCTGCGTGATGCAACAACGTTCTGCTCAGGGGAAACTGTGAGCACCGCACACGTCGGCAGACGCCCGCCTCTGGCTTTCTGGTTTGTGTTTGTCTACCAGATTATCTCTAGGTGGGAGAGAGAGGAGGAAACGACTATCCTCTCTTGTGTTCAGCGTTAAGAAGGCCAGCCGATGCTTGCTTTAGCACCAAACAGCTCGACAGTGCGTTAAACAGAACGGGAGGATGTGCTGCTCGTCAGAGTTCTGTCCCAGCCTGAATTGTAAAAAAGAAACAGTTAAAATCAATAACTGACCCCCAAACCCGGCATTGTGCACTTGTTACAAATCCTCAGAATAAAGCAGCAACACAAATCCTATTTGTTAGCTTTTGTTAATGTGTTTATTGGCGGTGATGATCAGGTCTATATGGGCCTCCTCTTGTATTCACTTAAACACAGTTTAAATAGAACACTTAAATACATAGAGTGCTTAAATATTTTGATATTTCAACAATCCTGCAGTTCTACTTTGTTGTACTATACCTAAATAAATGTTCGTATGACAAAGGGACCTTTATTATTTTTTGATAGCTTTATAAAGTGTGGTAAGACTTTCCCAAAGTTTCCAAGCAGGTGTATTGTTGGTCTATATAACAAACGTTAATATATTGAAACAGAATCCGTCACTACCTTTGATTCGACAAGATTGAGCCTGATTCAGTTTGAGGAAAGAAGTGAACATGACCTCAGCACTACTGTTTGGTGCAGAGGACTATAAGGTAGACGTGGGTCATTCAGAGCCTTGTTCTCCTCTTCTTGTGGGTACAGCAGGTTCTCCCTGCAGGAGTTCTCATTAAAGCAGGATCCCCAGTCAGAGTGATTAGTCATTTAATCCATCAAAGAAGCTCCTGTCTGTCTGCGTGGACGGAGACGGATTATTGTGATGCATGGCAACTATACAGTAGCTCATATTTTTATCTGAAGAATACGGTATAATTGAGGGAAATTGAAGTCGTAGTCTTTTTCAAAGCATCGACTTGTCCTCATTACCCGTTGAATATAATGAGTTGAAGAGATTACTGATGTATGAGGTGGCAACACATCACAGACTGTGGCCTATAAATGAATTCTGACAGAAAAACCAAAGACTCACAAAGTGGCTAAAGTATGAATGATAGTGATTCTATGCTTTTATATTCATTGAGGGCTGTTGAGGTCTGGAAGTTTCTTAGAGGGATCATTGTGTTGATCTAAGTGGTTAAAATCTAATCAGCTTGTTAATTGGTTTATCCATAAATAGACTGATTAAATGTGCTCTTTAATGATACCTTTCAAAAGACAGGAAAGGGGGATGAAATCGTCATTAAGTGGGCGATTTAATGTGTTTCTTTAATCATCTTCCACTTGCGTGATGGAGGAAATAATTCAATTCAAATGAACAAAAACAAACTTATATCAGGACAATGTAAAATACATTTTCCCTATTGACTCCAAAGGGTTAGAGGTCACTGCTAGCAAACAGAACACCCTTGTGTAGTTCCAGGATATTTGAGGACAGTTAATTGCCAGTTAAAAGAGTGATATTCACCAGAAATGTCATGACTTATTCCAAAGTACGAGGTGTTCCCCTCTTCCCAGACCCGCACTCACGTTGTAGAAGGAGATTAAAAGAGATTAAAACAGTAGCCCAGTTTCATTAAATCATATTAGAGGGAGAGGGAAACATGTTATAAAGAGCTATGCTGTTCTCTTTCCCATTCCTTGTAAATATGTGTAGAAAACTGTTAGTTATGCCCGCTGGCTGGAGAACAAGGCTTTGTTGTGTCTGGCCCAGCGGGAAGTAGCTTCCACACTCAGGACCGATTGGATCACTGGACTGTGACCAACTCAGGACGTGGAAACGCTCCGAGGACGCGTTGAGCTGCAGCGGTATGCTCATGGTATTACTCCACTTAAGGTTAAAGATGTAATGTAGACACAAGTCTATCAGCACGCAGCGGTAGATGTTCATCCGGGTGGGCTGCAGCGGAACGTGTCATAGTGAGACAAAAACAAACGTTTGTACGCACAGAGACAACAGAAAGATACATGTAGAAAAGTAGGATGGCGGCTGTCTTAGGAACAATTTTTTTTAGTACATAACAACAGCGTGGACAATTATTGTCCTTTACCAAATAAACAGTCCATTCTGTATCAATCTAAGAATAACTTTGTGAAACTCAATTCTAATCGATTCAAGGGTTGAAAAGAAACTACTCAGAGGCGTGAACACGCATATCCCTGATAGGACGTGTGCCAATCGTCAAGACACCATCAAACGTTCAACAGCGTTACAACCCTGAAACGACAAATTACAACTGCGTTATGCATATTTTAATTTCATCACACCAAAGAAAAGAAATCTAATCATTGTTGCCATGGGATGATGTTGTAATTTTGAGAGCGGGACATTAAGACAAGAGGTTGTCCAAGTCAGGTAAAGGAGTCAGTTGACCAAAAGATTTTGATTTATTGATTGAAAAGTAGCCAGAATACAACATTCTAATTTCATCAAATAAAAAATATGTTTAGGTCCACTATTAATAATCATGGCTTCTTTAGAAAGAAACCTGCAGCTTGATCAAAAGTTGGAAGCGATGTTGGGGGCCGAAGGCGGATCACAGTTAATGTACGAGTCTGCTGCCTTCAACGTTGACTAACATTGAGTTAAACGTTTAGCAGAAAACATAATTTGGTATGAAGGGAAAAGCTGTCGTGTCTTTGTTTTGGACTTCCATCCGAAAAGCATGATGTCAGAACCTAACCACATATCTTGACGTTGTTGTGACAGATACTTATGCACATTATCTTTGCTGGAGGAGGCATTAGACACTGTTCCTGTTCCTAGACCGGTTGTGAGTCACTGACTCGTGCTTTTACACTGAGAGATGTGTACCTTCATTGGGGCTCATTTGTATGAGCAGAGAGGATACAGCGACAAAGCTGGAACCACTTTCTCAGCCACGGGGCTTCAATGTAGTTTAAGATTACTGGATCTTTGGTGATGGACAGCACATATTTTGGGCTTAAATATTTGGTCTAATTTGGGGTAAACACAGCTGTTTCCCACCAAAAAGCACCTTTTCACACGTCAGCCTGTTGATTGTTACTTTGACAAACCCATGATGATCATTTCCTCTATGAATTTGGGGTGAAGCGTTCTCTTAGACCTGAATTCACAGAAGGGATCCATGAACGGAAACAATGCATCCGCTTCCTCATTTTCACTCTGAACGACGGTAACCCGAGATAGACCTTCAGCCGTGGATTTATCTGATCTCTGGTATAAAACGCCACGTGTCTCGTTTCCTCTCCGTTTGTGAGAAACAACACTGGCTGCATCAATATATATTACATTATATATATACACACACATACATTTGAAAAAAGAACAGGCATGCATGCATGACACCGGTGCAGACCAGAAGGATGAGAGGAAGAGGAAGAGGGGGAGGAGGAGGATGGGAGGTTTGTCCGATAGTAACCTCAGCAGGGAGAATGAAGGAGCGGGGAAGGTTTGACCGATAGTAACCCGAGCACGAGGATGCGAAGCAGTGAAGGAGGGGGATGGTGCACGCACGGCCTATATTTGTCTCTGCAGTGCTGAAATGTGTCACATACATATTTTGATTGTGGGGAACTGTCAAACATGCTGCGATGCAAGAAAGAACCCCGCGCGACAGACGAGTTTTCTTTATTTGTTATTAATGTCGCGGCAAAATCCTCCAGTTAAGTAAAGAGTACGCGGTGGGAAACCCTTCCAGAAAACGCCGCACACGGGTACAACATGCGCGCAGAAAGAGACCTGCACTGCGGGAATACTGTGTTGGATAAACATATGTTTTGGCTTTCTCCTGTTTGCAACGTCAGCACTTGGGTTGCCTTCAAGCTCTGTGGGAAATATGGCAATTACAAGTGAGCGACTTTTGGTCCACAGCACTGTACACGAATGGGCCCTGTATTGACCGGGGTTCATATGTATTCAGTCCCTTGTTGTCACAACAAACAAGTCTTCATCACGATAGCATTATGTTATGATCAAGTTGAGCTTACCGGCTCATATGATAGTATTGTGTGTTTAGCGTGTTGTATTACATGTTCATCATTGATGATTTTGACTGTTCTCAAGCAGTTTTACTCTTATAATGAATTACAATCAGATGAAATGATATCACTTGCTGGCTGCTTGTTGTCATTACATAGTTGAAACCAGGCAAAGGCACAAGCAGGCGTATTTTCTATTTATGCCGTTTTCCATTTTTCCTTTTTGTAGAATTGTCACAACATGCTAATTTTCTGCTCATTGGTATGCACAAAGTAACAGAAAACAAAGGCTTATAGCTTTTGTAGTTGCCCAGGTGCGTCAGGGTATTCATCACAGCCCAGTTCTCCTAAGACCTCCCACTGTGGGCCTTTATTGTGTAGTAAAACCACCATCGATCAAAAAGTTGTCATGCAACATCTCATCTGTTCTCATGAATATTCTGTCCGCAAGCAATCAAATTCCCTTTGACAGAATCCCCACTGGCCTCTTGAAAATACGAGCTTTGGAAGGGACCCTGAACGCATCTCGGTCTGACCGCAGGTTACCTCGCGCTGCAGCCGGCAGAGAACTGGGTGAAAGGGGAATGATGTCACTAGCCTGGCTGAGACGGAGGGGAACAATCAAGTCTCGGTGGTCACCGGGCAAAAGTACAGCAGCAAAGAAGCCGCTTGTGATCCATTTATTTTCGAGGGGAATGTTTTATTAATCTGTCTTTATTAAACAGTATGTCAATGGGAATTCAGCGAAAATCAAGAGGTGCATTGTGCCAGTTTTAAATTAACAGTGTTTTTGAATCTCGCCTATATTCACATTTTGAACTGTGAAAATGTTTCCTGCAACTTTCTGCATTATTAGGAATTTCTCCTGTGAAGGTTGGGCTTAACTTTGTCTAACTGACAACTTTCCCCTTTTTCTCACAGTCTTCATTTCAAAGGTGACTCTGAAGATAACATCTATTTCAGATCCCGCTTCACAGGCCTCCATATCATATGAGCTGGTTTAGCGTGTCTTCAGTGGAAAAGGCTTCATTTCGGTACAGTTACCCCGAACCTGACATTGGATTTGATTCAATAAATGCAGTTCTGGTCCTTAATCTTTTTTCATGTTACTTATTGTGCCCAAAATATTTACTTGGGTACGTTTTGTACAATTTTATTGTCGTCCCTAACAAGTACGAAGGACATTGAGAACATGTACCTGCTGTGGCGTTCCCTGTGACCCACTAGCTCCTCATCCACCGATGACATCATTACCGCTAAGCATCAGTTCAGTGTGAGCCGTGACCACTTCAAAGAGTTATGCTGTATCTCCTTCAGCTATTTGTTTCAGATTGTGTTTACAGATGTTTACGTAGAGCAACAACTTCCTCTTTCTCAAACACGCACTCGCAAGTCTCTGTCCCGTTGGGCTTCATTGGGCAGCCGGTGACTCATGAGTGTGCGTACGTGTGTTCGCATTTCGTGCTGCTCGAGTCTCCAAAGTGCCGAGGTCAGCAAACATCCTCCTTCTTTCAACGTTGTGTGTCAAAGTGCAAAGTCTCCTTGCAGTCATTTGCCGTGGGTTAATGCTGAGCTACGACAGTTAGATAGTTTTCTTATTTTAATTTAATCATCTGCAGTGCAGTTGGGCCTTTATAGTTTTCCTCTAAAATCATTAACTTTGAGGCAGATCCTCTAATAGGACATTGTGTAGAATTTATGGCGATCTTTCAGGAGAAAATGGAATATGTGAATAATAATTATGTTCTCTACAGTGAATAATCACCAGAGAAAACAAGACCTGTAGCAATCTAACCGTCTCACTAGATGTCAACTAAAACAAAAAATCTAATAATAGTAGGTCACTGGATTGGTCAAAGCATAAACAGAGCATTTTAAAAGCAGATATTTTTGATCCGGGTAGAACTAAGGAAGACTAAATAGGATGCAGCCCTTGTTGATGTAAAAAGTTACCTGTGTTTATCCTGCTTACACATGTGAAGATAATCTGCTGTGTAACAGGTTGTTAATCCCTGCTGGGATTACTGGGTCACTGCATGTCAATGCATTACCGAGCAAAAGAAAGAAATTAGGATTTTGGAGAAGAATAGATGGTTTTACACGTATTTTAAGCAACTATTATCAATATTAAGGACAAAATGGTTAAGTCCAACGGAACAAGATGCATGCATGTAAATTTGAGGATACCATTAAATCGAAAACTCCAAGCAGACACATGAAAAGACTCATGTGTTGCAAAGTTTATACAGTTGTATGTTCAATACAGCGTGTTGCATAATACTATCATGTTGTTCTGTCAGTGGGCGATCATCAGGATGTAATAACTGCCCCGACCACTGTGTGTGTGTGTGTGTGATGTGTATCTGGAAGAGTATTTAAGGTTGAGTGCATTTGCAACTTTAAATCTTTGTTTCAGAGCGTCTGATTTAATCAGTTGTTAAGAGGTGAAGTAAACATGCACGTTTTTTTTGTCAAGGTCCTTCTCAGAGGTCAAACGTTCAGGGTCCAATTGTGTGTGAGTGGATACATCTGAATCAGACAAAAACTAACCATCAGATTGTTTTGGTCACATGTTCTCTCTGGCCTTTCTAAATTGCACTGTGTGTGTATCAGTGTGCTGACTCTCTGCTCCATAGAGGTCTATTCATCCCAAACAGCTGGTGACCTCACTGACCTCTGTCTATTCTCTCTCTATACGTCCGTCTGCTGTGCCATTCTCACTCCGATTATTGCACCGCGTGTGTAATCACTGGAATATCTTGAACTAATGAAGTATTTGGCACATTGTAGATTATCTTGGGGATTGAAGAGAATATCATGGTTTCTGGTCCAACTGCAAGGGCGACAATCACCTTTCTGTCACTTTGCTGAATCGCTGACATTCATCATGTATACAGGTCAAAAATTCAGACCTCAGATATTACTATTATTATATAGTGTGCTGATGATCATTTCATATTAAAAGGTTATATTTTAGAGTTAACAATCATTTATCCAGGATTCTAAGTGACAATGTCTTTCACAGGGAAGCATTGACCAAAAATCAGACTTCAAAAGAAAACAGCAAATTGTGTCATAAAATAAATTGCTGTTTTTCCGTGACATATACATTCAGTGTACAAATAGTTGTGCATGCTGTTAAAATGATTAGATGTATAATGTCTCTAATGCTCACACCACTTGTAAAAACACTTTCACACAAAAACTGTTTGACCGTATTTGTTTGTATGTTGTTTTGTGTTTTTTTGCCCACTGTAGGGAGCAAAGATAAGAGACATTTTGTGTAAAGATAAGACACATTTTGTGTAAGTGTTTCATCCTGAGGTTGTACATGAAGACAAAAACATCTCTCCCGTGTAAAGACACCACACAGCGATATCTCGCAGCGCGTTACACTGAATCATCTGTGGTGTCCTTGAAGGAAGAACGAGGGGAGGATGTTTGGGGAATGTTGCACTGCGCAACAAAAAACTAAATTGAAACCAACTGAAATGCCAAACAAACCCAAACGTTAGTGGGAGAGTGACAGAGAGCGGCTGACACCAGCTCATATGATACAGCAGCTCAACCCAATTCTGCGTGCAGAGACGGATAAAGGTTGCAGGCCTTCTGGACAATTGTGTCATCACAATACAATGCAATGTGTGCTTTTGTGTGTTTGTGTGCAAACAAGGCCTGGGTTTAAACAGCGTTACATTTGAACTGCACCCTGTTATTGCTGCATTCATTCTAGCTTTTAAAAATAGAGATCAGAACACAACAGTACTGTTAATAAAAAAACACGAGAGTCCAACGTTTTAGAAGTTCAGTGATGTCTCAGGTCAATTTACCTTTACTCTCCGTCTGTGTCGCTGTGTTTGTGTCTCTCTCCATCGCCCCTACTTTGCATCTGTGTCTCGGATGATTAATCTGTAATCTGTCCGTCCACTTACAGCCGTTTGAGGAATCTAGGGTCTGTGCTTGGAGAGAGAGCAACGCTGTGTTGTTGTGTTTGTGTATTGACTCTCTCTCTCTCTCTCTCTCTCTCTCTCTCTCTCTCTCTCTCTCTCTCTCTCTCTCTCTCTCTCTCTCTCTCTCTCTCTCTTTCCTTTCCTTTCCTGCCCACCATCTGGAACAGTTGTCCCATATTTTCTTTCTCTCTTCCTGCAGCGGTGGTTGTTTTCTCCGGTTGGCGCTTCCGTCCGGCTCTGCCGATCAAGCAAAATGTTTTTTTTGCACCCATGCAAGTTGTGTATGTACACACACACACACACACACACACACACGCACACAGCATACCATACTCAGAGGTACCTGTGAGCATTCAGAAAATCTCTACTATATTGAGGTGCTCGGCTCTGAAACGTCCACTGCAATTAGTGAAAATCTGCCTGGAGTTCTTTCTTTCCCAGGAAGGATTAAAGCTGCACATTTAGGTGCTGTGCAATCACACTTGGATCTCAACAGAAGAGGAATCAGGCAGGTTTAACACATCAAGGCATGACATATGAAGGGACAACTCAATGCTCATATATGGCTACATGGTACCGAGCACAGCTTTGTCCTTATAGGAATGGATTGTTGTGTACACACACACACACACACGCACACACCCCTTCACACACAGATTATTACAGCAAAGCTCTGCTATAGGTCCCAGTAGAGATCCCACGGCTATTTTGGTCAGCGTGGAGGACTTAATACTCTGTGAGGGAGAGTTAGGGGATTGAATAACACGGGCGATGCTCCCTCTCCTCTGGAGGACAGTCAGGATTATTGCTGCTACGCTCATTGGCGCGATGACGTGGTCACATCTGAATCCTGAAGGAATAGTTTCAAAAATGCGTTTATACATTTCTTTTTTTTGCAAAGACTTTGATGGCAAATTCAATTCCACTCATGTCTGCTTCCACTTGTGTATCTTCAGCCTGCGAGTGGTTGGACCGCTGCCCCGACTCGCTATTAAAGTAAATAAGATTTGCCCCAAACCAGTTCTATCTTACAGGTCATATATTTGTACAAAAAACGATTGAATATATAGAAAAAAATGTAATATTGATCCGATCAACAAACCGTTAACAAAGGGAATTAATGTATATCCCAAAATATTCCATTTCCGGTTGGATGGGATTGTAATACTCATGAATAATTTGTGTAGTTGAATAGTACAAAGTCTTCTTCCAGGTTCCCAGTTGTCTTAAAATACTTTCTGGTAATCAACATGCAGACGTTGTCCGTCAGAACCACGTAATTATTTTTATAAATAATGTGTTTCAGGAGCTCCTGCAATGTTGGATTTAAAAAAGACTTTAATTGGGCACACTACACAGTTGGATCTAGTATTGGACATTGGATGAGATTGGAACTTTTTACATGTGAGATGAAAGGAAGCTGAGAGCAGTGCAGGGCCATTCAAAGGGACGCACAAAGCCAAAGGTGTGTGAACCTCCTCCCTGCCTTTGACCTGGATGCACCTACAAAAAAGAAGGATAAAAAGAAGATAAGACGAAGCAAAATGATGAAGGCCAACAGATAAAAAGAGGCGGACAACATCAGGGTGGCGAAGGGAGATCGCAAATATGTCGTCGTCGGGGCGTCGTGGTTAGAGAAGGTGTGCTGGGAAGCACAAGGTTGGTGGTTCGAGTCCAGGCTGCCCCATGTTCCATGTCGAAGTGTCCCTGAGCAAGACACCTAACCCTTAATTGCTCCCAAGGCTAAAATTGTGAAAAAGCCGTGGGTTTAAAGTGTAATGCAAGTCGCTTTGGATAAAAGCGTCTGCTAAATTACCTGTAATTTGTCATTTGTAAAATAAAGATTTCTTTTTCAAATGGAGTCAAAAAAGTGCAACATGGGGAGAAAAGTATTCTGAAACGAGGAAAGATGAAGGGGAAGGCGAAGCAGCACAGCCAACCCACTAAGAAAGAAACGGATGAGCCTCTTCTTTGTGAGTGAGGAGAGGAGGAAGAAAAGGGAAGTGATCATTGTAATCCTACTGCATGCAGTGGAAAAAAAACTTCACCAGTGGTAGAATAGTTAAAGTAGTTAGGTTATAAAAGTTAATTATAAAATGTCAGGAGTGGTCGTGGTATTTACCGCAATGTGGAATACACAAAAC